AACCGGATAATCAATTTTTGTGGCATCCTTTTCAATCTGATATTTATTCTCAGCAATTTTCAGGTCATCATCATCATCATTTGCGGCCCCACCGCTCTTGTTAATTGTTTCATCATTGTCCTTCTTACACAGATTAATATGACTGCCACTGGAGAACTTACCCAGCACCCTGTACTTCTTGTACTTGTAGGTGAAATACGGTACGACGGTCTCTTGAGCTTGCTGTATGATTTGCCATGTTATGAGGAGTGTAGCCAAATTCTGTAGGCACGTGCGTATATGTATGCATGTGAACATTTGTGTGTGTGCGTGTGTATGCATGTTTGTGTGTGTATGCGTGTGTGTGTGTGCGTGTAAGCATGAACATGAATGAACCTTTTGGAGAAGGTTGTAATCTCTCAGGACGAAAGCAATGTAGAAGAGGTTGCAGAAGTAGTTGACGAAATTAAACTGAAATAAGTAAACAAATAATTAATAATAACAATAATAATAATAATTATAATTATAATAATGATAATTAATAATAGAACTCACGACGACAAGTTTAGCAATGAGAAAATTTTCATAAGAACTTTGAAGTCTGTGATTTTCTTGAATGAACGAATGAATGAATGAATGAATGAACGGATGAATAAACGACCGAATGAAAGAACGAATGAATAAATGAATGAACAAATAAATGAATGAAAGAATCGATTAATGATGAAATGAATGAAAAAATCGTCTTCACACTTTCAATCCCCATCGTCAATAACCCCATTATACTTCTCTTCATCATCGTCATCATCACCATCATCGTCATCACCATTATCGTCATCATCATCATCATTTCACTATCATCAAAACCACACCACCCCTCTACTAACCATAATTATTAAGCCTGACAGCCAGGTACCTATAGCCTATATCGAGACCGTATATAGCCATGCCGTAAACGATGGTGACCATAACCGAGATTACATACGCGTCCCACGGCAAGGTCATAGATTGGTAATCCCCTGAATGTAGGTCAACTTTATTTAGGTCACTGAATGCCCAATTTCGAATGGAGTCTTCTACCCAGAAGTAGGTGATTCCGACAAAAAGGGAGACGATTAGGCAGACGATAATGATCGGCAGGGAGATTGTGTAGAACCTTTTATGAAATTTGAAAAAGAAATTTGAAATAGAGGAGAGAAAGAGAGAGAGAGAGAGAGAGAGAAAAAAAGAGAAAGAGAGATAAAGAGAAACTAAAATTTAAAAATTGATTGAAAATAACACCTGGTTACTAATAAGTTTACATATTCTCTTTAACTCAACAATTCAGCTGTAAAACTATTTGTTCATTTCATTATTATTTCATTCATTCATTCGTTCGTTCGTTCGTTCGTTCATTTATTCATTCATTTATTCGTTCGTTCATTCATTCATTCATTCGTTCATCCAAAAACCCGAAATAGCAGCACTAACTTGACGTATTTGGACTTGTAATCGCAAAAAGGTTCGAACTTTCCAGTGACGGGATTGGTGCAAATTTCTTCGCTCCATAGCTCAGGCCGTGGCTCATCGAACCTCGAGTGATTTATCGAGCCCCACCTAACAAAAGACAATAAATAACAAATTAATTATTTATAACCTTTTAATAACTATTATCATAATCAATATTGTAGTTATTATAGCAAACACACACACACACAATTTTTAACTAACTAACTTATAAGCCAGTTTAGAACTCTCTCTTTTCCAAAGGACTAAAAATATGGAAGACCAAATGATGTTGAAGATGCAGAAAAATCCAATAATATTGTACGAAATGAAAAAAGATAGTAAATAGAAGAAGACTCCGAGTATAGCTGGGGGAAGGAGGAAAGTAGTGTAGAAACCAAGGAAGGCGAAATAAATGGTGATGCTGTCACCGAAGTAATCGTGGATGTCATCTGATGGTGACGGTGAGAATGATGATAGAAATAATTATTAATATCGTTGTTATTATTTCATTTCATTATTATTTACCTAAAGGTTGAAAACTCCAAAATGACCTGACCCAATTTCTTATTAGTTTCCTTAAATCCCTCTTGTCGTGCAATGGGAAGTAGGTCAAGAGATTTTTGGCCCTGCATGCTGAAACTTGAAAGATGATGACGACGTTGTTGTTGGTGATGATGACGATGATGTTGGTGACGATGATGACAATTATAAGATATACTACCATTAAAATGGTATATATTTTCATTAATATCATCTACATCATCCGTGCAACCATCACCACTAACATATAACTTGATCTTTAAAAAGTTTGGGCAAACCAGGCAGAAAACCTTTTACACTAATTTCACTGGACCCCTCCGGCATTTTGAACCTGACTGACTCAATTTCATGCATTATTATTTGCTGTTTTTCTCTTGTGGATAAAAACTTGTCCAAATCATCTATAAATGTATAACAAGACAGTGCAGATATTATCATTTTTCTCAAATAACAGCAAAACCCTTATCACAATCAGACATAATTAACACAACTTATTTAAAAAAACTGATCATAATTTATAATAGTTATAAATAATAGTTATTGTTATACTCATACTTACTGGATCCTTGGTACAAGTGAATGTTGCACAATATAAAATCTCTCATTGTATCATCCTGAAAACGTTTCTTCAAGCCCATCCTTTCTGCACCTTCTAGCAGACGTTTAACACTGGCCCCCACTGCATAAATTTGACGCTGTGTATGTAAGATATTAGAAAATTTAATGCCTAATTATTGTAATTAGGGATTTTTAAGTCTACCTACCTACACTCTACCTACAAACACATAGTTTAATTAAGTTTTAGAATATGCATTTGGTCATATTCAATTTTTCTTACCATAAATATTAAATAATATGAGTGATAACAGAAATAATTCACTAATTTAAACCATTCAGTCAGTTTAAAATTTTATTTTGTAGTAAAAAAATTTACAGAACCTGTTTCTTGTTATCCTTGATGAATCTGACATCCAACTCGGCTCCACCTTTCGCAATGGGGTCCGTCAACTTTTCAACAAACCAAGCGATCGTTTCTGCTGGAAAATTCGCTAAAAACTGCAGGACGACTAACGTACGTTCGTCTACACTGGACTCCAAATCATCAAGGTCCGACGCATCATCATCCGTCGCGACGACTTCGTTGCTGTTATTAAGGCTGTCAGTAGACATTTTTAGAAATTAAATTTATATTTTATTTTAGTAAAAGCAGTTTATTAGATTTTTGTTAAATATTCGCGAAATAAGCTCATTTTAGGATGTTTTACTTTGAAAGATTTTAGGTCGAAGTTAAAATTTAGTTACATTTAAAGGGACTGAAGGTATTTAAACATAGAAAAGATTTTAGCTGGTAAATTTATTAAAAGTGCTCATTTATTAACGAAATACTAAATTTTGTGTTTAATTGTTAAATAATTTTTAATAAACATTTAATTTACAATATAATAATTATATTAAACGTTATGAAAAGCACTGAAATTACATATTCAAAAATTTGAAGCATTTTACTTTCACTTAGCTTTTTATGGTCAGAACTTACATTCACATTTCAAATAAAAACATACCGTGGTTTTTATAAAAAAAATTTCGAAATCTCAAGTTCAAGATCGTTTTAAAAATTAATTCCCGAACTAAATTTTACTTTATTGAAGAAAAAGTTGAATTAGTCAAAGATCCCATTAATCGAGCAAAAAAAATCTCTAATTTGTCTTTATATTATTAAGATTTTTGACTTAGAACGAATGCATGTATGGTGAGCAAATAAAATCATTTCTTAAAAAGTTAAAATTGGAGATGAAATAACGTTGCTTAAACTGTTTAACTAATTTCTTCAAAATATCAATTTTTATTGTTTATTTATCATATTTATTCTATTTTTTAAAATATTTTTAAAATTTTTTGTTTAAAATTTTTTTTTATTCTTCCTTAGCCTTCCACTTCATTTCATTTGTCCTCTATCTCTTTTTCGTACATTTGTGTCATTTTTCATTGAAAGTTTTCGAGCCACCGAAACTAAAACTCAATCAAACTTACTATTTTGATGACGAAGATGATGATGGCAACGAATTTCCTAACGAAGAAACTCATGAAACTACCCAAAACTACCCCCAATCAAACTCAGCAACAGTTGAACAGGACAGGCCCAAAAATAGTGCAGACTTTGTTCATAACATGGATCCCTTGTTAAATCTAGAGATGGGAAATAGATTCTTAAAAGCGAAAACTAATCTTGATGACGTCATTGACGATTTCAACGATGATGGTGACGTAAATCCATCAATAATTTTCAATAAAATTAGCTCAGATCATCACCATGACGATCTTAATCATTACCAAGATGAGTTTGCTGAAAATTCAAAGGAGGAAGATTCAAATGGTTCAAAGATTTTTTTGGCAGACTTTTATGAAAATCTTGTTGACTGCATGCAAATTCTCCTTTTCTTTCCTAGTCAAACACTAAAAAATGACGGCTTCTACTACCATAACGACGATGGCGTCACAACCACTGACAGCCGCAACAACAACGGTCGCCATGACGTCATGACCGCTAACGGCCACATTTTCGAGAACGACGACAAGAATGGTGCTGATGATGATGATGACGGCGGCGATGGTGACGTCATAATCACTAACAAAAACAACGGTGACGATGATGACGACGACGATGACGATAAAAGTAATTTTTACAACGTTAAAAACAACCTGGGATGCAGTCGTCGAAACAAATTATGCAACAACAACAACAACGACAACAACAACATTAATAAAATTAATAATAAATATAACAATAAATACAATAATAAATATAATAATAATAACAATAATAATAAATTTAAAAATGGTAAACCTAAATATGACAAAAACAATGCACTCAAGAGAATGAGGGACAGACAGTCATCCGTCGAAAGACCTTATCAAAACACACTTCAAACACGTAAAGATAACATGATTAACAACGACATCAACAACAATAACAATAATAATAATAACAATAATTATAATAATAATAATTGTCAGTTTGGGAATTTCAAAAGCGACAAATGTAAAAAGTTAAAATGGAATGGAGGTTCTGATTCTCCTAAAAATAATAAAATGAATAACAATAACAACAACAATAATAACAATAATAAAAATAACAACAATAACAACAACAATAATAATAAAAAAGATAGAAAGAACAATTGGAACGAAGGAATGAAATCTGAGAAAGCTATCCTCCTATCAGATGATAAGCACTTTGATTATCGAGAACAGAATAAAAACTTTGATAATGATGATGATGATGATGACGATGGTGATGATGATGATGATGATGTTCGAGATGGTGATGATGATAATGATGACCACCACGATGATGATGATGATGATGGTGATCGTTCCTCGTATCGTAATCAACGTCTCCACTATCAAAGCCGTCATAAACATAATGATGATGATGACGATGATGATGATGATGGTGATGGTAGTGATGATGATGCTTATAAACATCGTCATCATCATCATCATCATCGTCGTCGTAAACATCATCATCATCGTCATCATCATCATCATCATAGAAACAAGCATAGAAAATACAGCGACCGATATAAGAACAATGATAACATTGGTAGAGACGACGACGAAGATGATAATAATAATAATAACAATAATAATAATAACAATAATAATAATAACAATAACAATAATAACAATAAAGGTGCTGATGATGATGGCAGTGCAAACAGACAAAAGCGAAAAGATGGAATTTATGACGAAGAGGACGATGATGATGATGATGATGATGATGATGATGATGATGATGATGATGAATATAGTAACAACAACAACAATAATAAAAATGATGACAATGATGATGGCGATGATGATAATGATGTCGCCGGTGATGATATAGAGGGGGACGAATACGACGATTTGAGCGAGAAGGATGAAGACGACGATGAAAAGAAGAAGAAGAAGAAGAAGAAGAAGAAGAGGAAGAAGAAATGTAATAATAATAATAATAATAATAATAATAATAATAATAATAATAATAATAATAATAATAATAGCAATAATAACGAAATAAATAAAACGGACGATGTTTTTAAAAGCGAGGAACCAATTAGAAGCAAACTTGATCATGATGATAATGATGATGGAGATGATGATTATGATGAAAGTATTGGTTTTATTTATAGCAATAGCGATGCTGATTGTGATTGTAGTAGTTATGATAGTGATGATTACGACGACGATGATGATGATGACGACGACGATGATGATGATGTTTAATTTTTTCTCCAATTTTCGGTGTTTCTTTTGATTGTATTAAGATCAGTCTAATATTGATTACATTCATTCGATTTTGATACAGTTTTTAGACTATTCTTTTAGTCATTCATTCGTTCGTTCGTTCGTTCATTCATTCATTCATTTTTTCATTTATTCCTTCAGTCGATCCAAACAACCCATCAACATCTGTCTTTTTGATAACCTTATCATGAAAATATAAGTTTATACCAATATATATGTCAATATATGTCTCTATATATATATATATATTTAAATAAATGTTTGCATGTATAATTTAATATGTCTTCGCGTGTTTATATTATATAACTGAAAATATTTTACTAATCTGTCAATTATTGTCTTATCATAATTTTATTAGTAACAAGGTGAAGAGACGATAACGACGGTGTATGTGTATGTATGTATTTATGTATGTGTATGTATGTATTTATGTATGTGTATGTATGTATTTATGTATGTGTATGTATGTATTTATGTATGTGTATGTATGTATTTATGTATGTGTATGTATGTGTGTATGTGTGTGTGTATGTATTATGTATGTGTATGTATGTGTGTATGTGTGTGTGTATGTATGTATGTATGTCTGTGTGTATAAATATATAAATAGTAATGACATTACGTTTTAAGATCTCATTTACATTAGAAATGGTTTCATCCAGTCGATGTTGACTCAATTAGTTATAAATAACTTAATCAATTAAATAAATTATTTTTTTATTTCAAAGTTTATTCCCTACCGACTCTGTGTGCGTGTGTGTGCGTGTGTGTGTTCAATCTATCGATTCTACATTGGCTATACAATAATAATAATAATAATAATAATAATAATAATAATAAAATAATAATAAAATAATAATCTCCGTTCGTTTAAAAAAAAATTTTTTTTGACAAAAAAGGGATTTTCTCTCGAAACTTTTTTTTTCTTTCAAAAACTTCTAAACTCCACACCATGGACGGCATAGAACTCATCGCTATTTTGGATTACAACAACAACAGCAAAAACAGCAGCAGCAACAACAACAGCAACAACAGCAGCAGCAACAACAACAGCAACAACATCAGCAACAACAGCAGCAATATTAATAGTAATATGAATAAGAATACATTGACCATTCCTTCTATTACTATTAACATTGAGAATGCTGTAGTCATAACCACCAATAACACCACCAACAACAACAATAATAATATAAATGATGATGATATAGTTAATAATAATAATAACAATAATAATAATAATAAAGTCGATAGTAATTATAGCAAAAATATCGTATTATCGTCGAACGAAGGCTACCGAAACAAGGCCTTCGAAATCGGTAAAGAGTCGGTATCCGATTCTGATGACGTCATCATCCAGAATGTTGACGATTACGTCGGTGCTGGTGATGATAATGGTGGTGGTGAAGGTAGTAATGATGATGATGGTGGTGGTGGTGGTGGTGGTAAGGGGTTGGAGGGTGAAGAGAAGAAGAAAAAAAATAAAAAAGTTAATATATTCCAGTTGGTGAGTTACGGAAATTTGTATGTGTGTGTGCGTGTGTGAATTAATTGATGAATTGAATGAAATAATGAGTAAATAAAAAAGTGCATAATTGAACGATTGATTGAAAAGGAGTGCGTAAACAGAATGAATGAAATGGAGAAATTCCTAACAAAACTATAATGTAAAATCTATCGGAAACAAATTTATTTAAAAATATTTATCCGTATATTAAACTTCGTCTACATTACCGACTAAACCAAGAGTGTTCGACAAAGTTAACCTATTTCCATTCCAACACACACACTTACATACACACACACACACACGCACACACACACACGCACACGCAGTACAAATACGCCAGTTGTTTCGAAATCATCCTTCTACTTATCGGTATTCTCTGCGCTGTGATTCAGGGCTCAGCTCTCCAGGGGCCTTACGTCATCATGTCTGATACTATAGATTCTTACGCCGAGTATCTGTAAGTCGAATCAGGATGAATGAATGAATGAATGAATGAATTAATTAATGAATTAATTAATTAATGAGTTGATGGCGGTGGGAATGTTGAAACGCTTGTCATAAATTATTTTTAAAGAAATCTCGAGTGTTTGTTAACATACATTTAAAGTATGGGCGTGTAAAAACTTTGGGTATAAACAATTAATATTTTGCATTCATTCATCCATTCATTCACATATTCATTTATTCATTCATTCATTCATTCATTCATTCATTCATTCATTCATTCATTCATTCATTCATTCATTCATTCATTCATTCATTCATTCATTCATTCACTCACTTATTCAGAAGATGTAAAAAAATAGTAGAAAACCAGACGGACAGCGGAGGAAGTGAGGCCAACACGAGCAGCTTAGTCTACGATTTCCTATCCGAACTAACTCGGTGGCCGTACGTCCTCGAGCATCACCGCCACCAACACCACCAATTTTTCAACAAATTCAACCAAGACAACAACAACAACAACAACAACAACGTAACCAAAAACATTACACTCGAGGAATGTAGAAAGAAGGTCAGCGATTCAGCTGTGAGGGTCTCAATAGGAATCTCAATTGTGGCGGTCGTCATCATCGTCAACTACTACCTCCACGTCTTCCTCTTCACAATCGTCGCCGATCGTCTCACCAGAAGAGTTCGTCTCCTGGCCTTTGAAAATATTTTGAGGTTACACACACACACGCACACACACAAACACACACCACACACATACATACACGCACACACACACATACATGCACACAATTTTTTTAAATAATTTTTTCAAAGACAGAACATCGGCTACTTTGATGTGCATCTAGGCGGAGAACTTAACACTAGGCTGACGCAGTTTGTTTTTGTTTTTTTATTATTTAATAATATTTTTTTTTATTATTTTATTTAAATAATAATAATAATAATATTGACAGTGTTAATAATTATTGACACAATTTCACTGTAGTTTGTTTCAACCCCCAAAAACAGGGATGTGACGAAATATGAGATCGGTATCGGGAATAAAGTAAGTATGATGCTCTCCTGGTTCTCTGCATTTATCGCCGGATTAGTAATCTGCCTAATCAACGAGTGGAAGTTGACGCTGTTCATGTGCGTGCTGCTGCCTGTGGCTGCTGTCGTCAGTGCCGTTACCACCAGGGTAGGTTTTGTTGTGTGGCGTGGTGTAACGATTAAGGTGTCTGACACCGGCGTTGCAGCGACTGATTTCAAATGCGAAGTGATTCTCGATTATCTATCAGACGTAATGTTGTTGGAGGTCTTGATTTACGGTACATGTGTGTGCTGTTGGTAATACACTCGAGAAACACTTGAAAGAGTTGTAAAAACAAATGCTACGCTATATTTACTGGTTGTTGATTCGTTATTATTTCATTGTAACTGCATGCCGTAATTAGTTAAAATGCTTCAATTGAAAACCAGCTGATGAAGATATACGCGGAACGTGAGATGAATGCATACGCTAAAGCAGGGGGAGTGGCAGAGGAAGCTCTGATGAACATCAGGGTGGTCACTGCATTCGCTGGACAGGATAAAGAATGTGCCAGGTTCGTTGGCTCGTTGGTTGACTGGTCGGTCGGTCGGTTGGTTGATTGGTTGGTTGGTTTGTTGGTTGGATAGTTAGATGGTTCTTTGTCTGGCTAGCTGATTCGCTGGTTGGTTTTTGTTGAGTTTATTCAAAGTTTATTCGTAGTTTTTTAAACATGTTTTTTTTTTAATTTTTTCATTCCAATCACATCAAACATTGTCAGGTATGGAAAGCTTTTAGAAGAAGCGCGTAAAATTAGTGTGAAATCGGCGATAGCTTCATCATTTGGACAGGGAGTTCCCTGGTTTCTTACCTTCACAATAGCAGGCATTACTATTTTCCTAACCGGATCAATGATAAGTAAAGGGAATATCAACCCAGGGTTCATGTTTGTTGTCAGTATTGTATTTGTTCTGCTGGCCTTATATTAATTACTAATTATTAAAAATAATTATAATTATTCCTCCTTCCAGTTATTAGGCTGCATGATGCAGGGTTTGAGAGCACTCGGTTTTGGCACTGCTCTGCTTGAATACGTCTTCGACTCGCAAGGTGCCGCGTTTGGCATCTACGAAATCATCCGAGCAGTTAGAAAATCATTCATTTCTTTTATTTATTTATTTATTCGTTTATTTATTCTTTTATTCATTCATTCATTCGTTCGTTTGTTTATTCATTCATCTCTATCCATTCATCCATCCACTTTTTTTTAAACGTCTATATCACTGTTTGTGTTTACATATGTTTTATTTGAAATCATTACCATCATCACTATCATCATCATTATCCCAGAAAACTGAAATAGATAGCAGTGACAAGAGCGGTGAGAAGCTGGAGAACGTTCGAGGCCTCGTATCCTTTGAAAACATCCACTTCAGGTATCCGGCCCGGAAAGATGTTCCGGTAAGTATTCGTGTTAAGAACCGACCGATTATTATCGATCGATTAATACTTGAGTGATTATTTAATATCAGTTGAATGATTTAGCAATCGGTGCACCGATCTGTTAAATCGTAACGAGATTAATGTTTGTAAAATACAAATATATTTTTCTGACAAATGAAAATTACGAATTTAAGTAAATTATAAATGATATAAATAAATAAATAATTTATGATATTATAAGGTCTTGAAGGGCCTTACTTTGCAGATCAAACCTGGTCAAAGTGCGGCCCTTGTGGGGCCCAGCGGTTGCGGCAAGAGTACAACAATACAACTTCTGCAAAGGTTTTATGACCCAGACGAAGGCCTGGTCAGTATATCTTTTTTGCTTTTTCTTCCTCATCTCTCTAATAATAATTAATAAATTTTGAATGATCTTTTAAACTAGGTGAAGTTGGACGGAGTGGACGTAAGGACCTTGAACATAGCCTGGCTCAGAGGGCAGATCGGGGTCGTTTCGCAAGATCCAGTCCTCTTCGCTACGACCATTGAGGAAAACATTAGGTGAATCAGGAAGTAATTTTTAAATTTTTAATTTTTAGAAATTTATTGTAATTTAGAGAGAGAAAATGTTTTGTTTATTTTCGTCGTATTTTACAAATTTAGGTTCGGCAACCCGGACGCTACGTTTGAAGAGATCGAGAAAGCAGCTAGAGAAGCTGACGCTCACTCCTTCATCATGAACCTACCCGAAGTCTGTTAACCAATATATTACGATGTGACAAATTTTCAAAACACTATCTACGTCTTAGACAGAGTACAGATTAAAACATTAATACAATAAAATTAATGAAAACAGCATCGTTGTTAAATTTTCTTATCTGAATACGCGCTAAAGTTCCTCAAGCCTATAAATTTAAAACCTCCAATTGCTATTTCTCCATAGAAATACGACACGAAACTAAACGAGCAAGGCACGGAGCTGAGCAGAGGTGAGAAACAGAGAATCTCACTTGCCAGGGCTCTTGTAGGCCAGCCAAAAATTCTCCTCCTCGATGAATGTACCTCGGCTCTCGATAACGAAAGTGAAGCTGCCGTCCAAGCTGCCCTGGATAAGGTTACGGAGGGGGCGTGTGTGGGATATTAATAAGGGGTGAATTCTTTTGAGAGAGCGTAGATTGTTACATGGGGGAAGTTCTATTTTTAAGTATTTTAAATTTAAACCAATTTCTATGACATAGAGAGGCATACACACACTTTTATTCTACCCTACATTATTTGATGACGCCGTATGCTGTATATATAAAATATATAAATTAATCTTCCCCAAAAAGTATTTCAATAAATTATCTGCCAACCACCAACCACCACCTGTCAACCACCAACTTTCAGCCACCAGCTGCCAACCACCAACTTTCAACCACTAACCACCAGCTGCCAACCACCAACTCTCATCCACAAACCATCAAAACAGGCGGCGAAAGGTAGAACGACGATCATCATAGCCCACAGGTTGTCGACAGTTAAGGAATGCGACGTGCTGTTTGTGGTCGACAGGGGGGTGGTTTCAGAGTTTGGAAGCCACAAGGAGCTGCTGGCGAGGAAAGGCCTCTACCACAAACTGGTGTCCACTCAGGTTTGCTGGGTTTTTTTTGTCTCTCTATGGTGCAGGTCTGAGAATGCAGAACCGTGAAGGAGGAACGATGATGGCGGTGTTGGCGGTGCGAGAAATTATTTTATAAAAATTTGATTCGACAGATGATGGAAGATGTGAGGACAGACACGATGGCCGGTAACACGTTGCTCGGTGGGTCATCTTTTACATTAATCAATTAACCAATCAATCAACCAATTAATTAACCAATCAATTAACTAATTAACTAACGAACGAACTAATCATAAAAACCACAAATTAAATACTCGTAGCAGTCACTTAACGTTATAATTAACAGTCCCTGGCCTGGATGATAGGCGAAGATCGAGGACGGGAACTGAAGCGAGCAGTCTCTACGACGCTTCTGAAGTCAGTCATGGTTATAGTAACCATTAACAACAACAACAACAACAATAATAATAGTAATAACTACAATAGCATAATCATAATCAAAATAATGATTAATAATAACCATCACCATATCAACCAACCAATGACACAACAGCAAGAGAACAACAAATCAAAACTCGAGACTCTCCTCTCACCGACTCATTCGCGGGCACTTCGCGATATTTTCTCTCTGAACGGCCAGCAGTGGTACCTGCTGTTTCTGGGCGTCGTTGGGGGGCTCATCCTTGGAACCACCTGGCCCATCTACTCCCTCATGATGAGCTACGTCATTGGGGTCAGTGTAATATTAATAATAATAAGTTAAGTATTATAAGTATAAGCTCCGAAGTATAAGCTTAAAAGACTAGTGAACCAATGCGTGTTGAATTGTAATCGACCTTAGCCATTACGCCATTACTTTTACCATCACATACTATATTATGTATATTATAATGAAATTTTGCATAATTTAATCGTCAAGGTCATAGTTCAACTCGGAGATGTCATGAAGGGTGTTACGAGCAGCTCGATCGGCATCGTCTGCCTCGGCATTGCAGCCTGTGCAGTCGCCACCGTATCCGTATGTCGCCATTTAATAATAATTTTATTATTATTCTTATTGTTTTTATTGTTTTTATTGTTTTTTATTTTTCTTTTCTACCTTCCAGCTATTCATGTTGAAATACTTTGGCGAATCGTTAACATTGATTGTAAGGGGTAAAGCTTACAGAGCCATGTTGCATCAGGTTACCATGATGGTGATGACGTTGGTGATGATGACGACGACGATGATGATGCTGATGATGATGCTGATGATGAGGACGATCGTGATGATGACGATGATGATGACGAAAAAAGTTAATATTAATTAAAAATAAATTCCTAGGAGCTTGCTTGGTTCGACCAAACGACCAACCAAGTTGGATCTCTAACCAGTCGGCTTGCTGACGAAGCCACTAGAATAAAAATGGTGAAAAATTACACGCGCACACACACACACACACACGCACACACACAAACACACACGCAAACACACGCACACACACACGCACACAAACATACATATACACACACACAAACACAGGCTACAGGTAACACGATTTTATACCTTGCGGCTGCAGTCTCAAGTGTCATATGCAGCGTTCTCGTTGCCCTAATCTCATCGCCGCAGTTGGGGCTTGCTGTCCTACCCCTTATGCCCCTTACGATCACGGCCGGGATCATACAGGGCTACATGAACACCACCTATGAGAAAAAAAGTCATGCCAGAACGGAAGCTAGTGGCCGGGTTCGTTGGCTGTCAATCATTTCATTCGTTTGATTCTATGTTCCTTCGCATCAATCATTCAATCAACCGTTTGATGAATCATCATTCATTTGTTCATTTATTCATTCATTTATTTTTTCATTCATTTATTCATTCATTCGTTAATTTATTCATTCACTCATTCATTTATTCATTCATACCATTCAAAAGTTGATTTTTTTTACAATAGGTAGCTTCAGAGGCCATAGATAAGATAAGGACAATTGCATCGCTAAGGAAGGAAGAATATTTTTTGCAGAGCTATAAATCTCATTTCAATTCCATGAAGAAGTTAGTTGGTTGGCTGGCTGTTGGATAGTTGATTGGTTGTTTGATTGATTAATTACGTCATCACCATTATCATCATCCTCATCATCCTCATCATCATCGTCATCATCGTCAGGGAAGCGAAGCATAGAGCGAACATCATAGGCCTGTCCCAGTCATTCGTCTGGTTCTGCAGCTGCAGTATCGAGATCGTAAGTGTCGGTTTCGGTATGTGGCTCGTTTCTCAGGAAATTACCGAGTTTGAAGTCGTCTTCCGGTTTGTAGTGGTTATAATTATGATTTTGGCAGATTGTGATTATGATGATGATGTTGAAATGACGTTGGTGTTGATGATGATGATGATAAGAACGATCATAACTATGACAAGACGAACCATCGTTTGATTCGATTTCATGATTTTTAGCAATTTTTCAATTTTCATCATCCTCAACTTCAACCTTCTCATCAACCTCAACTTCAACCTTCTTATCAACCTCAAATTCATCCTCAACTTTATCATCTTCAACCTCAACTTCAACCTCCTCATCTTCAACCTCCTCATCTTCATCCTCATCATCTTCATCCTCATCATCACCAGAATCCTTACTGTGGCGTTAGTGATGGCAGCCGAAGTTGGGAGAGCCAACGCCAATCTGCCGGAACTGACGTCATCGTTCACGGCCGCGGAAAACCTGCTGAAACTCATCAACCGGAAACCCGAAATACGTCATCAGAATGGCGACCACGACGATGACGATAGTGATGATGATGACGATGGGGGTGGTGGTGATGATGATGATGATAAGTGCAGAGGAAGAAACTTGATACCAGTACGTATTGGTGATGATGATGATGACGACGATGATGATGATGACGACGATGATGATGACGGTGATGGTGATGATGACGATGATGATGGGGAAGCATAATAACGTGCGTGCTGGTCTAAAATTAATTTCATCGCATGTGCGTCAATACTATGAACATCCTCCCAAGCAATTTTTCAAACGTTCACTTATTCGTTCGTTCGTTCGTTCGTTCGTTTTTTTGTTAGTTTGTTCGTTTATTTATTCATTCATTCATTCACTCGTCCATTAATCATTTGACGTACCATTCTTTTTCTTTTTTTCTATCTTTCTAATTTAGTTTTTCGCCACCATCATTATCACCACCACCATCATCTTTGCCATCAGCATCATCATCACCACCACTACCATCATCATCACTATCACCACCATCATCCTCACTATCACCACCATCATCATCATTCAGACCGCCTGTCACGGCGAACTTGAACTCTCCGACGTGACCTTTGGCTATCCGACGAGGCCAGAGATAAGGGTGCTCAAAAACTTTTCCCTAGCTGTCAAAAGGTCAATAATAATAATAATAATAATAATAATAATAATAATAATAATAATAATAATAATAATAATAATAATAATAATAATGGCCAATATTATTATTATTGTTGTTATGAAGGGGACAAAGTGTGGCCGTTGTTGGGCCAAGCGGTGGCGGGAAATCGACGGTGGTCCAGTTAATTGAGAGGTTCTACGATGTCGCAAACGGAAGTGTGGTCAGTTTATTATCACTATTATTATTATTATTATTGTTGTTATTGATATTATTATTATTATTATTATTATAATTATTATTGTTATTGTTAATACTAATATTATTAAAATTATTAATAATTATTATTATTATTAATATCGTTGTTGCATTCGCCATGGTCACGATCAGAAAATGGACGGAGTGAATGTGAGGAGGTTGAACTTGACCTGGTTACGTAGCCAGCTCGGTATCGTCCTGCAAGAACCGATTCTATTCGGTATAAGTATCGCCGAGAATATCGCATACGGTGACAACACTAGACAAGTGCCGCAAGAAGAGATTGAAGCGGCTGCCAGAGCTGCTAACATTCATGAATTCATTATTTCGTTACCATTGGTTGGTCGGTCGGTTGGTTGATTGGTTGGTCGGTTGGTTGATTGGTTAGTTGATTGGCTGGTTGGTTGGTTGGTTGGTTAGTTGATTGATTGGTTGGTTGGTTGGTTGGTTGATTTTATTTGTGACGTAGATGATGACGTAAGCAGAAGCAGCAGCAGCAGCAGCAACTATGAGGCAACGATGACGACATTTAGTGCAGATAAAGACACGTGATGTATTGGAATTCCAGTGAGACACTTGTCTCCATATATCGTTTTACAAGATTGCCACAGGCATTCCAAAGTTGACCACAATGATCATGACGACGACGACGATAAAGATGATGATTATGATGATGATGACGTTGATGATGATTATGATGATGAAGACGACGGTGATGATGAAATCGTAATAGAGATGGCACAAAAACGCACTTAGGGCTACGACACGAATGTGGGAAGCAGGGGCACGCAGTTGAGTGGGGGCCAGAAACAACGGCTTTCCATAGCCAGGGCTCTCTTGAGAAACCCGAAAATATTATTACTAGACGATGCCACATCTGCTCTCGACTCTCACAGCGAATCGGTTGCTGTTACCTTCTGGCTTCATTTATTTATTATATGATGATGATGGTGATGATGGTGGTGGTGGTGGTGGTTATGATAATAATGGTGGTGGTGGTTATGATAATGATGATGATGGGAGTGAGGGTGATGATGATGCAGGTGATGACGATGTTTTTGAAAATTTAAAATTCATCTTCATATATCTAAACAACAAACAGATCGTAGAAGAAGCGCTACAAAAAGCGCGTGCAGGCAGAACGTCGATCGTCATCGCACATCGCTTGTCTTCGATTGTCAACGCTGACGTCATACTCTACTTGAAGAAGGGCAAGGTCGTTGAGAGAGGAAGCCACGCCCACCTCATGTCACTCAGGGGCAATTATTATAAACTTTATCTCGCAAATTTAGGAAATAAGAAATGATGATTGCGATTGCTGGGACTATGCTGGTGGCGATGATGATGATTGTGATGATGGTGTTGGCAATGATCGTGATGATGACGATGACAAAGTTGATGGTGATGATGATGATGGTGGTGATGATGATGATGACGTAGATTGAATAATTTACTGAGAATAACGATTTTAATTTTTTTGAGATCATTTGTTTTGGTTCATATTTTGTTCGGCGGGTGGTTTAAATTCTTTTCCAAATAAAGGACAAAAAACGAAGTTCCGTCTCACTCTCTCTCTCTCTTCTCTCTTTTTCTTTTCACTCTTTTTACTCTAACTTTCTCTCCATCTCTTGAAATGAGAAAAATTTTCCAAACAAACCGCGCAAAAAATACTGTTACTATAAATAGCCGGCTACCTTTCATCATTGTTTTCTCTCTCTCTCTCTTTCACCTTCTCTCTCTTTTATTTTCTCTCTCTATTATTTTCTCTCCCTCTCCCTTTCTCTCTCTCTTACTACAATTTTAATTTGAAAAATTCTTCCGAAGAAAAGCCAATGAGCAGATGTTTTCAATCACAATCACTTGAAACTCTTTTATTAGCATCATATCTAATATCTACATCCTAAAAACATTTGCAGTTTCTATTGCATATTCTCTCTCTCTCTCTCTCTCTTTCTTCTTTCTCTTCCTCTTTTCTCTCTCTCTTCCTCCTTATCTTCCTTTTTTGCTTTTCCTTTTCCCAGAAATTCGCCAGCTCATGTTTGATGCTTCGCTTCGCGTTAAAGTAAAACACAGCACAGAATAATTGAATGGGAAGTGATAGATAGCGTGGAAACCCATATGCATACATACATACATACAACATACATACATACATACATGCATACATACATACATACATACATACATACATACATACATACATACATACATACATACATACATACATACATACATACAAACGATCATGTATTCAAAAGTCCATTATATAACCTTAAAAAGTATTAGATTCATAGAAAAAACACCAATAATAATAATAATAATTTGAATTATTATTATTATTTTATTTATTCATTGTAATAACAATAATAATAATAATTATTATTATTATTATAGTTTGAAAAGATTTCCTCCTCTTAAGATATGACAAATGTGGTTCTGATGTTGGTGACGTTGAAATTAAAATATTCATCAAGATTTAAAAGTAGTAGTAGTGGCAGCAGCGGCAGCGGCAGTAGTAGTAGTAGTAGTAGTAGTAGTAAAAGTAGTAATAGTAGTTGTAGTAGTAGTAGTAGTAAGAGTAGTAGAAGTAGGAGCAGTAGTTGTGGTTATAGCAATAATAGCAGTTGAAAAAATACTTCTAAAAAAGCCTTAATGACAAAAACTCTCGTGAAATAATTTAACATTTTTTTTTCTTAATTTTCAAGAATTTTTCAAAACCATGGATTCAAGAAATTTTTTTTTCCGGTTGTGAAGTGATTATAATTAGCAAAGCAATTATCTGGTGGCAGAAGCGTGTGGGCGCATTAATTTTACTGGCTTCACATCTCCCTGTACTTGAGGTTTTCGCAGGTTTCAAGCTGTTTTTTTCTTTTGTTGTTGGTTTTTTCGTATTTTTTCAAAATTTATTATTTCATTTATTCACTCATTTATTAATTCAACTATCTATTAATTTGTATAATTATTTATTCAATAATCACAATAATTCAACAATGTTAACGAGTCAACCTGGCCAATGATATCAATAAGATTTTACGACATACAACACCAAAGAGGTCTTATTTTCAACAAATATTCAATCCTTATAATAAATATCTGTATCGATATAAACCGAATTTAGTCGGTATAACCCGATGTAACATCCCCTAAGAACATGACCAACAAAATATCGATAAAATTCGATTCTTCAACACCTTCAAGTATTCGACTAAGTAGTTCAACTCCGGCATCCGAGAACCGTATACTATCGGATCGACGATGTACTTCGAGTAAGCTAGTATGGTAATTAAGTAGAACAGAGTTGTGCTGTCTTCAGAATCGGTATGGTGAATCGAGTGAATATTTAATGCCAGCATTGGTAGAAAGTAGATGGTAAGAATCGTCGTTAGGGCCATAATTGTAATGAAGGCTTTCTTGTCGTTACGTGTTGTGGCGTTTAATGTTGTTGATGGTACTGATGTTGTTGTTGTTGCTGTTGTGGGTTTTGTTGTGGATGTTGTTGTTACTGTTGCTGTTGTTGTTGTTGGATGTTTCAGTTTTGTTGTTGTTGTATAGCTCAATTTCGTCGTTGTTTGTTTCTTGGCTCCAAATAGTGGCAGAGTTGTTGTTTTTGACACAACTTTCGGTACTGTTTCAGATGTTTTTGTTTTTCTGTTAAAATTTGTAGAGCGGGCATTTGTTTGAACTGCGGATGAAATTTTTTCTGCGTTTTGTTTCATTGGGTTTGATTTCTTCTCTCCGTCGTTTATGCTGAAGATTTTATCACGCTGGCCACTTAGCACGTGTGTCATCGGATGGAGATCTGACATGAAATTGCTTGCTGATGAGGTTGTATGTAATATTTGTATCTTCTTTGATGTCATTGTTGATGTTGATGTAATTGTTGATGTTGTTGTTGTTGATGTTGCAGTTGATGTTGTTGTTGTTGATGTTGTTGTTGATATTACATTAACATCATCTGTTCTGTTGTTGATGTGTATGCTGCTGTCATTAGCTTGGGCTCTATCAATATCATCATCATTACCACCAACCCTACTACTCCTCCTCCTACTACTACTACTACCGCTACTACTACTACTACTACTACCACAACCACTACTACTTAAATTGTTACAGCTATTAGCGCTTTTAATACAACTACAAGGTTTAGAAACACTTTTGTAATCACAGCAACGCTGTCTACCGCTTCTACATCGCGTTCTTTTATTCCTAATCCTCTTACTATGCTCACTTCGCCCGCGTTCACTATTTATACACGGGCAGAAGTTACTAATATCACAGATACAACTGCTAATACAACAAATACTGTTACTAATACCATTCTTGTCAGAGCAACAACCACAAACACAAGTGTATTTTCTCTTGTTAATCTTTCCATCAGATTCTAAATTGAATGAAACTCGAAGTTTATGACCTTGTGTGTGCTCACATGATGCAAACAAATTTGTATCAACGCTTTCGATTTTGTTGTTGTTGTCGTTGTTGTTGTTACTACTACTACTTCCAATATTCTGATGATTGAAATTGCTGCTGCTACAACAGTTACTGCTACTGCCACTCGTATTGTTATTTCTTGAGCACTTCCAACAATAATTTCCCCGGTCTTTCTTTATTATACCGACAATTGTACCAGCCTCGGTCAGTTGGTTAATCGGATCCTGAATTTGGTTTTGCACTGAATGTTGAGTTGTATTTCGTACCGTATCTCGAATGGGATCTCGAATCGAGTTTTGAATCGAATTTCGGATTGGTTTGTCGCTGACGTTTGAGTTACTTAGTGGCGTTTGACGAGAGGAAGCCATGCGACGACCGACTGTTCTTATTTGGTAGAAAGTGGTCAGTAGCAAGCAAACGGAGAGGCAGTAGAAGACCGTTATAAATGCCACGCAGGTTATGAACGAAGCGATGAAGACCTTGCTGGAATAGGAGTGGCATGAAAATGCGTTTGAGTCGGGAAATGTTGAATTATTATCGTTGCGGTGTGTTGAATAGTTTGAAAAGTTTATCAGTTTATAAGGTTTACTGTTGTTCAAAGTCTGCACCTGAAACCACAAATCATCAACACCACCCAATTTCAACCCATCGTCGGCGGGGTTTCCCTCATCAGACGCACCATCCCCCTCCACAAACACCACCATCAAAACCCCCAAAACGACCAGCCAGCCGATGAAAACACCTCCCCAGCAAACCAACAGAAACCCAGACACGTTCCTCTTCCTCAACAACGTCAGCTGTCTCAAGGGCAGGCTGATGGCCACGCACTGGACCAGCGAGAAACCAAAAATGATGACCGTGGCGGCAATGTTAATGATTACGGAGCATATACTGATGAACATTAAGACGCCCATGAACTTGCAGAAGCCTAAATTTTCAATTGATATCGGCAGCCAACTCAACAGCAAGGAGAGCATGAATAGATTATTCGAACACCACATGAAGATAGTGCTTATGAAGTTAACCGCGGTCAAGTTGATGAAGAGAATTGTATACAGCGACTGTCGTCTGAGGCATGTTAGCCTGTCTGATCTTGTAATTCTGCTCGAGGCTGTCAGGATGTATCCGTTTATAATTAGAGAAATTAGTGTTAGTGTCGATTCAATGATTAATTTTGCTGGGGAGAGATAATTTGAGATGAAGTTGAGACTATAGATGTCAGTGATGTTGCTGTTGTTGTTGCTGCTGGCGTTGTTGTCGTTGTTGTTGCTGTTGTAATTGGCAGTATTTGTTGCTAATGTCCTTTTTATTGATGTGTTGCTTGAGTTGATGTAAACATCCATTGTAGTTAATGCAAAAATTAATGCTGTTGTTACGTTGTTGTTGTTGTTGTTGTTGTTGTTGGTGGTGGTGGTGGTAGTGGTTTCATTGAAGATTTGGTGGAAGTTGGGTGCATACCGTTCGTGAAAATTGTAATGACTTAAATCATAAAGAACTGATATTTAAACTGGTATCAGCCGAAACTTAAAAGGCTTATAATATTGTCTCATAATTATTTTAAATAGTTTCATAATATTTCTTCACTGACTTTATTGTAATCAACTTTAATACGTGTTAAATAAGGCTCTCCAATAAAAAAAAAACTATCAACATTTGTCCGCCTGTCTTGAAATACAAGCGCTCACCTCGCATATGCGCGCGTGGAGCAAGTTATATATAGCTAAGGACGTCCATACTGATGATGGCGAGGATGAAGAAGAGGAAGTTGTTGATTATGCTGCTGCTGCTGATGATGATGATGAGGAGGATGAAGAAGAGGAAGTTGTTGATGATGACGGCCATGGTGACTTCGAATTCTGCGAAAATGATGATGGTGACGTTGATGATGACGTAATGAAAAAAAAATAATTATAACAACCGGTCCATTTTTTCATAATCATTTTTAACTTGCCTAAATATTTCACAAAAAAAGTTTCCAAAAACTGGGATCCATCAGCTTTGGTAAACAATTTCATCTCTCTCTCTCTCTCTCTCTCTCTCTCTCTCTCTCTCTCTCTCTCTCTCTCTCTCTCGGTATACGTGTACGTGTATGTACGTTAATTACAACATGTAGATGAGGTATTGATATGAGTTAATTACATTTTTGGGTATTCCCAGAAATTTAATAAACGAAAAACACCCACCATGAATATTTCTCAGTAAATAAGGGTCCGTCTTCGTAATATTGATTGGATGATATTTTCAGAAAAAATTTTCATAAGAAAATCATGCATGCGTGTGCGTGTGTTTGTCTGCGTATGTGTGTGCAGGAGTGTGTGTATATGTGTGTGTGTGATTGTATGTGTATGTGAATGTATGTGTGTATATAAATGCATAAACATAAGTGTGTGTCAGTGAATACGTACATGCTTGCATCTGTGTATGTATCTATTTCTTTATCTACATATGTATGCGTGTATGCGTGCGTGTGTGTATGCGAGTGTGTTTAAAGGGAAATTTAACTTTATTTTTAGAAGTTTTTTTTTACAAAATTACCCATACATCACTATTTTCACCGCAAACAAAACATTTCTTCATGACGTCATTGACTTGCGATTTATTTAAACGAAAAACAACACACACACATACATACATATATAGATACAAACATAACTAGTTAACCAACCAATCAAACAATTAATCAATTAACTAATTTATGCAAATTTATTCAAATTTTAAATAAAATATTTTAACGTAAGCGTAATTAGTTTAATCCTCGACCGATACGTTTATAAATCGTTGAAACATAAAACACTACCAAATAATATTTAACAGGTGAAAAACCATCTGATAAAATTATACATGTAACCATAATTATTTTTTATTCATAATTATTTATAATAATTTTAACCGCTGAACCATTGCACCGCCCACATCTATAATTATTATAATAATTATCTATAATTATCGAAAATTATTCGTAATTACGAAGTTGTAGTTGTTATTTCTGATTCTTCATTAGAAAAAAATTTATTCCACTAATCTATTTTCCATTTATTTTATATAGTCTTTCTTAGAAATTTATTTTCAGAGCATTAGAATCGTAGGTCTTCGAATAGGATAGCAGTACATGGGCTTTTAGTTGGCGAATTAAATTCATTCATTTCAAGAAAATCATTCTATTTTTTATTATTTTTTATAACTAATTACGATTTGTTTTGTAAATAATTATTAAATTAATTCATTTCAAGAAAACCATTCTATTTTTTATAACTAATTACGATTTGTTTTGTAAATGATTAACTAAAGTATAGGTTTAGTATAGCAATTTGCTGTAACGTTCGTAGGCTCATTGTAGATGATGTTCATCTTATCATTTAAAATCTTGCCAATTCATCAATTTTAAAGTGAAATTAAATGAATTTTCAACTTATTTTTCAGATTATCTTTGATATTTCAGCACATCTCCGCGAGCGGCCAACACAGAAACGTAGACAGAGGCGAATCTCATTTCAGTAACCTCAGAGACAATCACAAACTCAGGAACCTTCACTGTTTGGGAAGCAGATTCGAGGCGAAAGCATTTTTTTGATGAGTTGGTGACAACAAGAACAACATTCGCGACGACATTAACAAGTAAACAACAGCAATAACAACATCAACAACAACAACTACCATCATTGGGAGTTTCTTTCTCGGCTTGTTTACAGTCAATATCTTCTTGTGAGATCATAAAAGTTCAACATCACGAGAGCTTCTTTGGACCGGTTTCCAAAAAGAAATTTAAACCTGGTCAGAGGGGAAATCGACTACTTAAACAGCTCTGCAATTGTCGAATTGATAATTGTTACGGAGCTTAAATAGCAACAGTAAAATCAAATTATATACTAAAAACCGCCACATGAACAATAACAACAAACAAACAAACAACAACAAATAACAACAAACGAACGAACAAACAAAGAACGAACGAACAAACAAACAACAAACAAACAAACAAACAAACAAACAAACAAACAAACAAACAAACAAACAAACAAACAAACAAACAAACAAACAAACAAACAAACAAACAAACAAACAAACAAACAAACAAACAAACAAACAAACAAACAAACAAACAAACAAACAAACAAACAAACAAACGAACAGCAGTAGCAACAAGAAAAACGAGTAAAAAAAGAAGATAAGCAAAGATGAACGCCTGCATGTCACCGAGCCAGGAGCTCATCAGCTCAAAACCCGGCGAGGATCCGTTCGGTTTCAGCGACAACTGTGGATGCAGTAACGGCATCGGCGGCAACCCGCCAGGCCAGGGATGTGGCGGCGGTGGTGGTGGAGGTCAGCGCGGAGGAATGGCAAGTGCATACAACTGTGCCGGTCAGCAGGGCGGGGCCCAGCAGGACAAACACTCGGAAGAGTTCGACGCCGGCTGTCAGCGAATTGGAGAATTCATCGTGAACTTGTGGCAGGATCAGAGGATGTGCGACGTCATAATGCGATGTCAGGACGGCACCATCAAGGCCCACAAGTCCGTCCTGGCGGCTTACAGTCCCTTCTGCTGCGAAAATTTCAGCAAATTTCCAAACGAATCAGCCATCAACATCGACCTCTGCGAATTTCCTGTGGAGACGGTGAAAATGTTGCTCGAATATCTCTACCTGCGTAAAAATTACGAGATGTGCGCGTCGAACGTGGCGAACGTGATCAGAGCAGGCGGCGAGTTGGGCCTGATGGAGGTTGTCGAGAATGGAATCGACTTTCTATGCAACGTGACCGTTCAGAACGCTCTCTACCACTACGCCATCGCCGACCACTGCTGCCTCGAAAAAACTCGCGAAAAGATATTCTGCTTCATTCTGGACAACTTCCGAGAGATCAGTCGAACGAGACACTTCCTCTGGCTGCATCCTGAAGTTCTCCTCCGTATCCTGTCCGACGATCAGTTGAGGGTATCGAGTGAGATTGAAGTTTTCTACGCCCTGGTCACTTGGATCGACTGCGACCGATGCAAGAGGATGCCGCTGGCCCCCACCCTCCTTCTCTGCGGCCTGCGACTCATGGAGATCCCGCCAGAAGAACTCATCAGCAAAGTGGAGAAAGTGGAATGGCTGTTCGAGAGTGAGGAGTGTGGGGTGATTTTGAACGAAGCCATTCGCTGTCACGCTCTCAGGCTGAGCAACAGCACGATGGCTTGCGCTGCCCCCTTCGACGAACAACGGCTGAGAGGTGGCGGTAAGGCCTCCTACAGATAATCTCCGACAGACAATTTAATTAATCATCCCACTGAAAATCAAATATTCGGACCCGTGACAGACAGACTATTCTTCTGTTTTTCTCATCACAAATATTCAATGATATGGTTTTTTTTTAAAGTAGCAACGTGTGTACTTGAATAATATTTTTGAAATTCGAAGCATTTTTCATACTATCATCTCAGTTTTTAATGTGAATAAAAATAGAATATCGTTTGATCGCTTTTCTTCAAAATTTAAAATGAAAGCCCCGAAGCATATTCACTATTTTCGTAACATTTAAAAACCCTCCTGTATTCCTAACATAAATTACCATCTCGTCGTGTGTTTGTTTGTCTACCTGTCTCTCTGTCTGTCTGTTTGTCTGTCTGTCTGTTTCACCCGTGGTTTGAACGTATAGGCTGTCAAAAGTCTCTCTCTCTTTCTCTCTCTCTCTCTATATATATATATATATGTATATATATATATATTATATATATTATACATACATATATATATATTTATATACTTGCATGTATCTATGTTGGTTCATTGGCTATGCATTATGCATTGCCATAGAGTTAGCTTGGCGTAAGCCCTGTATTCTTTTCTTGCTCACAGCTAAAGTTCTCTCTAAACAAACACATAAAAACACGCACATACACACAAACACACACACACACATATATATATATATATACACATACGTATTTTTATAATATTATATACATACAGGCTAGTAAAGACAAACCCATTTAGATTGTTTAGCTCTCGATGTTAAAGTATTTTATCTCGGAAACAGTTCTCTAGTAGATCAGTTTTATTTATAATTTTCTTAATTTATAATTTGTAGGAGTTTAAGTTTGGAAGCATCATCTGACTAGCCGGTGGTAGTAAGTGAATAACCTTTTATGGAGTAGAGCAGCTTTTTATGTTTGAAATACGCAATCTAAAAATTTTATTGATTTTTAAATCTGGTTAATGATTGAAATGTCAATATAATTACGTGACAGTGATTATTATCATTATGATAAACTGAAAAATAAATAAATAGCAAATGAATAGTGTTTTCACTCCAAGGAGAAAAATAAATATCCGAAATAACAGCCAAAAGAAAGAAAAGCCATCCAAGCGAGCCAAACAACACCCAAAAAATGTCCCAACTCCACTGCAAGCTTCTCATTTGGATGCTGTCATTTGTCCTCAGACTGATGATGACCGCGAATTTCGTCTCTACTCTCAGCTGTTACGATTGCCTGAATTGTGAGGACAGTGCAACTGGAGCTGCTGAGTGCGCGGACACTGACACAATGACCTGTGTATACGGAGCTGGATATTTCGTTAACGGTTTGAGGAAATTTTTTTCTTCAAGTAATTATATATAATTAGTGACGGATCAAGGAAGGAAACGTTGTTGGGACACTGACCCCCCTGTTGTGAGCGTTATTTGGGTTGAAAGGTAGCGAAAGTCGTTGTTTTTACGGAAAAAGTGTCTTTGAAGGGAAAAACGACAATTTAAGTACATTAGTAGAAATGTACGTCAAAATGTTTGTCTCCTATGAGAACAGAAAATTTTTCACAGTTTTGGTGAAAATTTCCACATCCTCTTCATTTTTTTTTTAGAATTCAATTCTTTTCGCCCCCCCCAGCCGTCGACTTTTTTGGAATTCTCCCCGGTTGTCAACTTTTCTGAAAAAATTTGACCCCTCCTGTGACGGTTGTTTAGATCTGCCACTTGACAGACTTACTATTTTTGCAAAAATTTGCATGTAAAATACGTGAATATAAGACACAAATTCATCAAATTTTATTTTCAAAAATAAAATTCTTGCTGAATTAATCACAATACTGTAAGAGACTGATGTTTGAGCTGCACAATGATCATATGATGATCTGATTATTTGTGATTGAAA